GGCTCCCACCACCACCGCTGTGCTCACCAGCTGAATAAACAAATTGGGGACCTGTACATGTAGTGAAAATAAATGTTGTGTAAATTCAAATATTAACTTAAGTGAATTTTAGTAACACAATCTTGAGTCAGGATGAAAGCAAGTCACCAAAGAACACATTGAGTATGATGGTCCTTATATATAACTAGAGGCCTGGTGCATGACATTTGTGCATTCGGTCCCTCAGCCCGGCCTGTGCCCCCTTGCAGTCCGGGAGCCCTCAGGGGATATCCGACTGCCAGGTTAAGGGAGCTGGCCTAAGCTGTCAGCCAGACATCCCTAGTGCTGCTGTGAGCCTGGCTTCTGGCTGAGTGTCGCTCCCCCTGTGGGAGCGCACTGACCACCAGGGGCAGCTCCTGCATTGAGTGTCTGCTCCCGGGTGGTCAGTGCATGTCATAGCAACCAGTCATTCTGCCATTTGGTCAATTTGCATATTAGCCTTTTATTATATAGGATAGGATTAAAAATGCTTATCTTTGCAAAAGTCTGTATGTTAAGCATGCAAGTATGTTAAGCAATTAAGGAAATTCAGGGAATGATAAATACAAAATTCAGGCCAGTAGTTAAGTTATTTATGGGCAGAATATTAAAGACATTAGATGGGAAGTACAGAGGGACTTTGGTGGAATGGATAATGCTCCATTTCTTAAGCTGATCCTGGTACAGTGATGTTCCTTTTGTTCTTATTCTGTATACCATATATGCATACACACATGTGTATTAATAGGTATGTTATTTTTGTGTTTTAAATATTTAATACATAACTTAATGAAACTAATTTGGTAAAAGATACAGTAGATGAAGTAAAGTGAAAAATGGGATATATAAGCCTAGATAGTTCTTAGGTGATTTTTAATGTAAAGAAAAACAGAAAATGTGAGAATATCTGGAGGAAATTTGATGCAAAGACTTATTTTGTTTTGTTTATTGTAAGTTGTAAGGTGCTACAACATATTTGCTGATTGTAATTGATCAGATAGGAAGAGAAAATGAAGATTCAGAGACATGTCAGTTGTCAGAGTAGATGAGAGTTGATGAATCCAGTGCACAGGTAGAGTAGTTGGCATTATACATAGACTGGTACTATTCCCTCATAGTCAGAAAAAGTCTGATTTCAAGGGAAGAGATACATATTTATTGTTGGTCTTGAAGGAGCGATTTTCTATCATTTGTGACGAGATGAGATAGCAAATACCTGTAGTACCCATTCTAACTCTAGTACTTGTACTTTAAAATGGAGTGTTTAGTCTCTGATGTAGATTAACCCTGGTTGAATATTTTGACTTCTAACACTTATCTCCCACAGGAGATGTTTGATATCAACTATAAGACCCTGGCTTCCAGCAATGTGGCTGTCTCAATATTCTGAAAGCTAATAAAAAACAGAGCAACTGAGTTCTGGGTAATATATAGCTTTTGGTGCATTCCTAGGCTTTAGTTAATAATAATAAAAATAGCAGATATCTATGCATTTCTAAAAATGGAAGAAAAATGATTATCTAGAGGAGGGTCTGGCAAACTGCAACCTTTAGGCCAAATCTGCATTTCCATTTCTTTTCATAAATAAATGTTTTTTTAAATTTTATTTTTAATTATAGCTTACATTCAATATTATTTTGAATATTAGTTTTAGATGTACAGCTTATTAGGTAAACAATCCTATACTTTACAAAGTGTTCCCCTCAATATTTCCAGTACCCAACTGGCACCTTACATAGTTATTATAATGCTAAAGGCCTGGTGCATGAAACTTGTGCACAGTTAGGGTCCCTAGGGCTGGCCGGCGATCAGGGCCGATCTGTGGGGCGGCCGGCAGGGCGATCAGTGGGCCACCGCTAGCACCTGCCTGTGGGGTGGGGGCAGCTCCTGCGTTGAGCATCTGCCCCCTGGTGGTCAGTGGGCATCATAGTGGCCTGTTGTTCCACCAGTCGTTCCAACATTTGGTCAATTTGCATATATTAGGCTTTTATTATATAGGATTATTGACTATATTCTCTCTGCTGTACGTTACATCTATTACATCTATCTGGTCTCTATTTTGTAACTACCAATCTGTACTTCTTAATCCTTCTTTCATCTTTCTCACCCAGTATCCCAAACCCCCTCCCCTCTGGCAACCATCATTCCAGTCTCTATATCTCTGTCTGTTTCAAATTTGTTGGCACATTTATTTTGCTTTTTATTTTTTTTTTTATTTTTTTTTTATAAAGGCTTTTTTTTTCTATCCAATTATTTTTTTTTTAAATATATTTTATTGATTTTTTTACAGAGAGGAAGGGAGAGAGATAGAGAGTTAGAAACATCGATGAGAGAGAATCATCGATCAGCTGCCTCCTGCACATCTCCTACTGGGGATATGTCCGCAACCCAGGTACATGCCCTTGACAGGAATCGAACCTGGGACCTCTCAGTCCGCAGGCCGACGCTCTATCCACTGAGCCAAACCGGTTTCGGCTATTTTGCTTTTTAGATTCCACATATAAGTGAAGTCATACGGTATTTCTCTTTTTCTGACTGATTTATTTCAGTTAGCGTAATACCCTCTAGGACTGTCATACTGTCAAAAAAATGCAAATTGAAACCACAATGAGACACCATCTCATACCTATCAGAATCATCAAATCAACAAACAAGTGTTCACAAGGATGTGGAGAAAGGGAACCTTCGTGCATTGTTGTTGGAAATGCAGATTGGTGCAATCACTATGGAAAATGGTATGGAGGTTCCTCAAAAAGCTTTATATAAATAAATTTTTATTTTAACAAGTGAAATTTTTATTTATGTGCTGTTGTCAATTGCTGCTTTCAAGCTAATTACAGAAATGAATAATTGAAATAGTGTCCATATAGTCTGTAAAACTGGAAATATTCACTCTCTGATCCTTTACAGAAAAAATGATAGCTTCAGGAATATTATAGAGTTTCTGTATGTTCTGCACTTATTTTCCCCTATTATTAACCAACAAGAGCCCCGGTGCACAAAAAATTTGTGCACTCGGGGGGAGGGGATCCCTCAGCCTGGCCTGTGCCCTCTCACAGTCTGGGACCCCTCAGGGGATGACCACCTACTGGCTTAGGCCCACTCCCCAGGGTATTAGGCCTAACCTGGCAGTCAGACATTCCTCTGTCAGCCCGGGAGCCCTCGGGGGTTGTCCACTTGCCAGTGGGGAGCAGGGCTAAGCTGCAATCGGACATCCTTAGCACTGCTGAGGAGGCGGAAGAGGCTCCCACCACCACCGCTGTACTGGCAGCCGTCAGTCTGGCTTGTGGCTGAGCAGAGCTCCCCCTGAGGGAGCGCATTGACCACCAGGGGGCAGCTCTTGCATTGAGCGTCTGCCCGCTGGTGGTCAGTATGTGTCATAGTGACCAGTCATTCCCAGTTGTTCTGCTATTAGGGTCAATTTTCATATTACCCTTTTATTATATAGGATAGAGGCCTGGTGCATGAGTGGGGGCCTGCTGGTTTGCCCTGAAGGGTGTCCTGGATCAGGGTAGGGGTCCTGCTGGGGTGCCTGGCCAGCCTGGGTGAGTGGCTGATGGCTGTTTGCAGGCTGGCCACTGCCCCCAGCCACCCAAGCTCCCAGTGGAGGCTGGCTGGAGGCAGGTATCTGGGATTCATTTATCTTCTATAAGTGAAACTTTGTTGCCTTGAGCGGAGGCCACAACCAGCCAGGGCAGGTGGGAAGCTTGGCTTCTTCCATCGCTGGGGCAACCAAGCCTCCTGTTTGCTCCAGCTCTGTGGCTGCCAGCTGCCATCTTGGTTAGGTTAATTTGCATATAGTTGCTCAGATTGGCTGGTGGGTGTGGCTTGGGGCATAGCAAAGGTGCAGTCAATTTGCATGTTTCTCTTTTATTAGAGTAGATATTGATATATTATTATTAACTAAAGTTCACACTTTGCTAGAATTGTATGAGTTTTTAATTATTATCCTTTTTTTTTCCTCAGGATCTCATCCACGTATACCATGTTACATTTATGTGACAGTTTCTCAAATATTCCTTGTATTTAATGATCTTGATAAAACATGCATACTAGTCAGATATTTTGTATATTTGTCTTCAATTTGGGTTTATCTGATATTTTCTCCATGGTTTTACAATGGATATAGTTTTTTGGAAAAAGGTCATCGAGATGAAGGGCCATTTCATCACATATCAAAGATCTCTACTGTAACATCACTGATGATGTTAATCAGCTGAGGTAGTGTTGGCCAGGTTTCTCTACTGTAAATATAGTCTTCCCTCCCCACCCTACCACTAATCTCTTTTAATTCTTTAGAAGGAAGTCACTGTGTGAATCCAACACTTAGGGAATGGAATGGGAGTCATACATAATTAGTTGGGAACTTTCTCTGTATGATATTTATCTACTCTCCTGAACTTAATAATTTATTCAATCATTTATTTATATCAGCATGTATTTATGGATATTAATTTTATACCATGCTCAGAAATCCCTATACTTTTCTCTAAATAGTAAGAAAGCAGCCCTGACCAGTTTGGCTCAGTGGCTAGAGCGCTGGCCTGTGGACTAAAGAGTCCAAGGTTCAATTCTGGTCAAGGGCATGTACCTTGGTTGCAGGCACATCCCCAGTAGGGGGTGTGCAGGAGGCAGCTGATAGATGTTTCTCTCTCATGGCTGTTTCTAATTCTCTATCCCTCTCCCTTCCTCTCTGTAAAAAAGCAATAAAATATATTTTTTAAAAAAGAAAGCAAACCATACTTATTTCTCCTTAGATTTGACCTTGCAGGTTAGGAATTAAGGATATAGTAATATACTAAAGACCCATAGTGAATTTTTGATGATCTTGTGAGTCTTCTGATTTGGAGAAAGGGAAAAATGTAGTACAGGAAAAACAATCATCAATAGAATGCAGAAAAATAGGAGACAAGCCAAAACAGCAGTTTATGTAAAAAAAACAATAACTGTTTTTCTATTCCTTTTGTTTTGTTTTCTTTATTGGCAAATATCACATTTTGTAAAACTTTAGCTTACAGAATGCAAATTCATTACATTTTATATATGACTTTCAAGTATAAATAACACTCATTGGGAGTATTGATAGACATCTGAATAATTCTGTTATAGCCAAAATTTATATTAGATTAAAGTAAATTCCAAATTAAGTATTTTGCAGAAAGCGAAAAAAATCAGGAACTACATAGTAGGTATAATTATGCCCCCAATTTTATTTGTTGATTTTAGTTATATCTTCCATGATTTTCAAAGTTCATGTAAATACGAAATATACTACTAAGTGTGTGTAGGGGGAGAGGGAATAGCGGGGACAGCATGAAAATAATTTGGAATGCTTGTTTATTTTTAATGTACTTCTAAGTTCAACTATCTGTGTGTTTCTACATCACTGCCATAGATTATAGCTTTGTGTAATATTTGTAAAAAGAAGAAAAAGGAGGAGGAGAAAAAGAATAAAAAACAAAATATAAAGATAATATCAGGCAAAAATCATTCTGTGTCTATATATTGAGATCTCAATAACCATGTGAACCTGATCATATAACCTTTCACATGACTCCTTCTCTAGCAATCTAAAATAAGGAAAGCTGATACATTAGAAAAGCCTTTCTTAGATCTCAGTTCGTAATTTCAGTGTAGACCCCTTCATTTGCTGCTCATAGTGCATATCAAATTTCTTATTCAGGGCCTCTGTAAAGTGATTCTTCCAGTCTCCTATAATCCCTGTAACAAAAGGGAAAAAAAGTATTATGTCTTCAAGCCGGAATCATGAAGTTTTCTAATATTCATCACTTCCATTAACACCTTGGTTACAATAATAAAATATATGCCATAAATAATATGTATATTTGAGCTTGCAAAGGATTTGTTGTGATTGTTAAAACAACAGCAACCCCTTGATTACAATAATAAAATAAATGCCATAAATAATATACATTTTTGAGCTTGCAAAGGATTTGTTGTGATTGTTAAAACAACAGCAACAACAAACAGCAAATTTCTTTCTCTGACTCTTCTCACTAATGCTACCTCATTGAACTTTTTTTCTCTAATTTCCTCTCCAGTGTTGGGACTTCCTCTTAATATGGGATCCATGTTTTACACATGCCCAAGATATTAAATATCATGTTCATGCTGGTAACACTTAAATCCAGCTTTATATTTCCATATCCAACTGCCACCGGAATTCCATACAAGTATACCAAATTTAACTAGTTCACAAATAAATTCATATTGTTCCCCACCAAATTGAGTTTTCTTTTTTATAACCTGATTAACGGCAGCACCAGTTATCCAAAACATAAATTTGGAGGTTGTCCCCTCAATCTTACATCTCATTCTTTATTCCTATTCAGACTTTCTTCAGACTCATTTCCTTTTCTCCATTTCTGCTGCCACTGTCATCAGAGTTCCTCCGCATTTCCCACCTGGGTTATCACAATAGTCTAGAAGGCCCTTCTCTTTTGCTTTCCCCCACATCCAGCCTTTTCCTGGCAGAGGAAGTCACCCTTTATTTTAAATGTCAACAGTTCACTTTCCACGTTAGCTCAAGAAGTTCTCAACTTTCCCAGTGAAATAACCCAAAAAGCAAAAGGTTGAAAATATGTATTCTGGGTAGGGTCTAAGGGTACAGGAGTGAGCAGCCCTTTACAAGCATGATAATTACTCATTTTTTAATTTAAAAAATATATAGGTATTATTTCCCCAGCCAGTGTGGCTCAGTGGTTGAGCATTGACCTATGAACCAGGAGGTTACACTTCGATTCCAGGTCAGGGTTGTGGTCTCAATCCCCAGTGGGGAACGTGCTGGAAGCAGCCGATTGATGAGTCTCTCTAATCATTGATGTTTCTATCTCTCTCCCCACTTCTTTTCTCTCTGAAATCAAGAAAAATATATTTCTTGAAAAATATATGGACATTGTGGTAAAAAAGACTGAGATAATCTGAGAAATAGATTATTAAAATATCTTTTTTTTCCAGGGGCTCCCTGTTTTCACCCAGTGGCAGGTTTGTTATTCCTATTAATTAAGAAATGTCCTTGCCTTTTTACTGGCAATTTAGATCAAAGAGCAAGATTTTCTCTATTCTGATTCTAAAAAAAAAAAAAAAAGATGAACACCGAAACCCACATGTTTTTTTCACATATCAGTAAGTCCAGATGTGCCAATACTCTGCATATCCTACATATGTTTGGCTTTATAAACTGTATGTATCTCATCAGAGTCTCTAGTGAAAATTTAAAGATAATTAGAATTTTAAATTTATATGTATTTATATAATGTACATGGTATAGCACCAAGGCTCCCAGGCCTAGTAAATGGTAGGTAGCAGAGGGTATTAGTGCTGGGGCTGAGGTTGTACTGAATGCTGGGAATTCTTATAATACTAGGGGCCCGATACATGAAATTCGTGCATGGGGGGGGGGGGGAAGGGAGGTGGTCCTCAGCCCAGCCTGCACGCTCTCCAATCTGGGACATCCCTCTCACAATCCAGGACCTCTGGCTCCTAACAACTCACCTGCCTGCCTGCCTGATCACCCCTAACCACTCTACTTGCCAGTCTGGTTGGCCCCTAACTGCCCCCCTGCCAGCCTGATCGCCCCCTAACTACCCACCTGCCAGCCTGCCTGACCACCCTTAACCACTCTGCTCGCCAGCCTGATCACGCCCTAACTGGTTCCCTCTCAGTCTGGTTGCCCCCTAACTGCTCCCCTGCCAGCCTGATCACCCCTAACCGCCTCTGCCTTGACCCCCACCATCATGGGTTTGTCCAGAAGGAAGTCGGACATCTGGAAGATGTCTGGTCGACCCAGTCTAATTAGCATATTATCCTTTTATTAGTATAGATGCTGCATATCCTATATAATAAAAGGCTAATATGCAAATCAACCAAATGGCAGAACGACTGGTCACTATGATGTGCACTGACCACCTGGACTGTGAGAGGGCACAGGCTGGGCTGAGGGACCTTCCCCCAAGTGCACAAATTTCATGCATTTGGCATCTAATATTAAGTAATCAATAAGTAATAGCAATTTATTAGTAATAGTAGTAGAACTAGTGTTTTATGTCTCTGAAGACTGGTAACACAATAAAGAGAGTTCTCATATGTGAAACAACACTGCAGAAAACAAGCAGAGTCCACATATATGAATAGGCCTTTGTAGGTGTTTGCCTATAATTGTTTCAACTTGTGACCTCTTATAGTAATAGAGGCAAATCATGTGACCATCTCACCCTTTCTCATGAAGGGAGATATTTTTTGGTTCATGATTTCATCTGGCAGTATTGTGTAATTGGTAGATGGGTTGTTTTTCATCTCTTGGAATGAAGTGTGTTGAACAATCTTGTCCACAAGCTCCTTTGATGGCTCCCTTCCCAGAAATTGTATCACTTTTATCACCTCTCTTCTGATATCCTAGGAAGAAAAAAATATTTTGAAGACTCAATTACTAACATTGAATGCATTACTATTTGAATTAAAAAGAGAGAGAGAAATCCCCTCTCCCCACTGATATTGGAATTGGACTTCTAATGAGGAACAATGCTTCCTGTAGCAGTATTTTAAACTTCTCTAAACACAAATTTCCTCAGCCATACAATGTACATAAAAGGTACTTTAGACCATGTACATTCTTCCATATCACATACAAAATACAACTTTATTACACCATCTACAAAAATAAACTCAAATTTATGATTTACTTAACTGTATGATCTGAAACCATAAAACTTCTAGGAGGAAATACAGTCAGTAAACTCTTTGATATTAATCTTAGAAATATATTTTTGGATATATTATCTCAGGCAAGGGCAACAAAAGCAAAAATAAATAAATTGTACTACATCAAACTTAAAAGCTTCTGCACAGAAAAGGAAACCATGAACAAAATAAAAAGACAACCTACTGAATGGGAGAAGATATTTGTGAATAATATATCCAATAGGGGTTAATATCCAAAATATATAAGGAGCTCAGACAACTTAATATAAAAAAAAACACACACAATTAAACCTGGGCAGAGGATGACTAGACATTTCCCCAAAGAAGACATATTGATGGCTAACAGACATGAAAAGATGCTAAATATCATTAATCATCAGAAAAATGCAAATAAAAACCACAATGACACACTGAGATATCACCTCTCACCTGTCAGAATGGCCATTATGAGGAAGTCAACAAATAAGTTTGGCAAGAATGTGGAGAAAAAGGAACCTTGTGCATTGTTGGTGGGAATGTAAATTGAAGTAATCACTATGAGGTTCCTCAAAAATTTTAGAAAAAAACAACCATATGACCACTTCTGTATATTTATCTGAAGAATATAAAAGCACTAACTCAAAAAAATGTATGCACTTCTATGTTCATTGCAGCATTATTTACAATAGCCAAGATATGGAAGCAACCTAAGAGTTCACTGACAGACAAATGAATTAAAAATGTGTGATTTATATATTAGTCAGCAATAATTAAAAAAAAAAAAGATTTACCATTGGCAACAATATGAATGGATGTAGAGGGTATTATGCAAAGCAAAATAAGTCAGAGAAAGACAAATACTGTATGATTTCACTTATATGTGGAATCTGAAAAAACACAGGACAAATGAGCAAAAAAACAAACAAAACAGAAATAGATTCATAGATACAGAGAACAAACTAATGGTTGCCAGAGGTGAGGAGAGTGGGGGAACAGGTAAAAAAGGTGAAGAGGAATAAGAGGTACAAACTTCCAGTTATAAAATAAATAAGCCATGGGGGTGTAATGTACAGCACAGGGAAAATAGCCAATAATCCTATGTAATAAAAGGCTAATATGCAAATAGACCAAATGGCAGAACAACTGAACAACTAAACAACCGAACAACCGGTCACTATGACATGCACTGACCACCAGGGGGGAGTGTGTAGAACACAGCGGGCATCGGCAGCAGGTGTCAGAGTGCGGAACATGGTGGGTATCGGGTATGGCAGGATGGTGGAGCCAGGTGAACAGAGGCGCCAGACCAAGGTGGGGCACCAGTCACTGTCATCGGAGTGAGTCTCTGGTGGTTACTGAAAATTCTTTGCTCCCATGACACGGTCCCACTGGGCACTTGCACCTGCTGCCAGTGCCGGCCCTGCTCACACCCACTGCCAGTGCCAGAGCCACCACTCGCATGCACTGCCAGCCCCAATTGCCTGAGGGGCGATCAGGGCAGCAGCTGCCGCTTGCACCCATTGATGGTGATGGCCCCGCTTACACCTGCTTTTGGCGCTGGCCTCAATTGCTCCACGCCAACAGAGAGTGCAAGAGGGGCTGGCGCCATCAGCACATGGAAGCGGTGGCAGCAGGAGTGGGGCTGCTGGCAGAGAGGGGACTAGGGGCCACAGCAGGAGAGGCCAGGCAGAGGTGCAGAGGATGAGCCAAGACCCACCCCTGTGCCCACCACAGCCTCAAGGCCCACAGTTCCTTTCAGGGTCTACGAATTCATGCACTGGGCCCCTATTACCATTATAATGTTGCATAGTAACAGATGGTTACTAGACTTATTGTGGTGATCACATCATAAAGTTATATAAATGTCAAATCACTATGTTGTACACCTGAAACTAATATCATCTACTATGCCAACTATACTTTAATAACATATTTTTTAAAAAATAAATACTTTGTCAAGCCAGAGTGGCTCAGTAGTTGAACTTTGACCTATGAACCAGAAAATCAAGGTTTGATGCCTAGTCAGGGCATATGCCTGGGTTGTAGGCTTTATCCCCAGTAGGAAGCATATGGGAGGCAACTGATCAATGATTCTCTCTCATCACTGATGTTTCTATCTCTCTTTCTCTCTCCCTTCATCTCAGAAATCAATAAAAATAAGTTAGAAATAGATAATTTAAAGATTGTTAGAACACTAAGTGAGATGATGTTGTACAATACTGTTTGTAGTCCTCAATACACTCAATAAATATCTATTAATATTAATATACATTAACAAATAGTACAGTCTACTGTGATAGATTAAGCTTTGGGTTGAAAATGTGCAGAAAACTTTCATTTTTCTTCTAATTTACTGGTGAAACTAGTGAAAAGCAAAGGAACCAGACAGGTTAAGAAAATATGTAAAAGTCAAGTACTCAACATGGAACATTAGATGTTATATATGAACCACAACTACAAACATCCCATCTCTATGCATGTCACTACTATTATATACCTTACTAGAGGGACGGTGCACAAAAATTTGTGCACTCGGGGGCGGGGGGGGGGAGGTCCCTCAGCCCGGCCTGTGCCCTCTCGCAGTCTGGGACCCCTAAGGAGATAACAACCTGCTGGCTTAGGCCTGCTTCCAGGTGGCAGAGGGCAGGTCCAATCCCTAGGTGCAGCCCCTGGTCGGGCTCAGAGCAGGGCTGATTGGGGAGTTGGGGCGCTGCCCCCTGTCATGCACAGAGCAGGGCGGATCGGGAGGTTGCGATGCCACCCTCAGTCATGCTCAGGGTAGGGCCAATTGGGGGGTTGGGGCACTGTCCCCTGTCACACTCAAGGCAGGGTCTATGGGGAGGTTGCGGCACCACCCCCTGTCACACACAGAGCAGGGCCAATCAGGGGGTTGGGGCTCCTGACCCTGTCATGCACAGAGCAGGGCGGATCAGGGGGTTGGAGCGCTACCACTCTCACACTCAGGGCAGGGCCGATGGGGAGGTTATGGCTCTACCCCGTCACACACAGAGCAGGGCCTGTGGAGGGCTGGGGTTGGGGCACCACACCCTGTCACACACAGAGCCGCAGGGCGATCAGGGGGTTTGGGCACTGCCCCCTGTCACACTGATCCCAGTGCTGGGAGGCATATTACCCTTTTACTATATAGGATAGAGGCCTGGTGAATGGGTGGGGGCTGGCTGGTTTGCCCTGAAGGGTGTCCTGGATCAGGGTGGGGGTCCCCACTGGTGTGCCTGGCCAGCCTGGTGAGGGGATGATGGCTGTTTGCAGCTGGTCACACACCCTTCAGGGTGGGGGTCCCCACTGGGGTGCCTGGCCAGTCTGGGTGAGGGGCTGAGGGCTGTTTTCAGGCTGGCAGGTGACTGATGCTCCTAACTGCTCCTTTTTTTCTTTTTTTTTTATTCTGGGCCAGCTTTAGCTCTGGCTCCAGCTCTGAGACCTCTGCTGCTGAAAGCAGGTATCTGGTTTGTTTGGGTTCTATAATTAAACACTGTATCAACTCCAGCTCTGAGATCCCGGAGGGCTGAAAGCAGGTTTCTGGGGTTTTGTTTAGCTTCTATATTTGTAACAATGTTTCAAACTGCAAGCTCAGAGGCCGGCAAGGCAGGTGGGGAACGTTGGTTTCCTCCATCACTGAAGCAAGCAAGCCTCATGTTAGCTTCAAGCTGCCTGGCTGCTGGCCGCCATCTTGGCTGGCAGTTAATTTGCATATCTTGCTGATTAGCCAATGGGAAGGGTAGAGGATGTACGCTAATTACCATGTTTCTCTTTTATTAGATATGATTATCCAACTACATCACTCAATGCAACTATTTTCAGCATCAACCATAATGCTTATTCTGGCATGTAATTTTCTGTACATAGAATGCTGCTCTCAAATTCTTTGTCCTACAAATTATAGACTACCTATTAAACTAGCTTATGTATCACCTTCTTTAGGATGAGATCCTTGACCCTCCCAATTTGAATTAAGTGACATGTATTGATTATTACTTATATGTGTATTTGGGTTGTTTCCAATGTTTATGGTAAAGATCGTTGTACATATTCAGTGTCTCAAGAATATATATCTACTAGTGGAATTTCTGGGTCTTCAGTTCCATTCATGTTTTGCCCTTTGTAGATAGTGACAAGTTTATTCCATTGTGTATCTTTTACACTACCATCAGCAGTATGTTACTTCTCACGGATTCATATCCTGACTAACATTTATTATTGTTAGACTTTTCCATTGTTGTCAGTCTGGTGGGTATGGGATAATATTTCATAGTGATTTTTATTTGGAATTATCCTGATTACTAATGAAGCTAGAGAAAAACTAAGTTATTAGGAAATTTTGAGGTCATCATATTTTTATATATTGCTGTTCTAAGCATTCTCTTAACTCTCTCCTTCTGAAGGTTTGAGTTGATATATGTGGAACCTTAACATGTTATCCTACATGTCCATTACATTTTTTTAATAAAGTATTCTATTTATCTCAATGTAGTAAATTCTATAGAATTAACTCAGCTCCATCTTCCACATTACTAATTCATGACTCAGCCATGTCTTACTGTTATTTAAACCATCTCATAATTTCTAATTTTAATTTATTATTTTAGAGATTCTATTTTGTTATTTTTTCCCAAGTTGACTTATTAAGGTTAGTAACCTCTTGCTTCTTTGCAAAAATCTCAGTTTCTTCTTTTATTTCTTTAAACATATTAAGCATAATTATGTTAAAGCCCTTACCAGACATCTATGGATTTGGAGATTAGTTGACTCTTCTTGCCTGCTGTGATTCCTTTTGTGTATGTATATACATGTGCTGCTGTTTGTTTTATAATCTCAAGTTCTTCCAAATTTTATTGTTTGTAATTTTTTGGGACTTGGTTTTAAACATATACATTCATTCACAGGAAACTTGTATTTACTAACTTTAAATCTGTGTTAAAGTACCTGGATAATTGTAACTTTTGGAGGCGACAGCATCATTTATTTAAAGGTAGACCTTTGTATCTAGTGTTGCCAAATGCTAACATTTTAGAAATTACTAAGCTAAATTTGTTTTGTTTCTCACCTCCTTCATGTCTTCATAGAAAAGAAATAGCAAACGTGGATTCTTTCTCAGTTCCCACCAAGATTTTGCATGTTCATACCAGGAACCATAAGGAACTAAAATTAGAGATAAAGGCAACATAAGAGCACAGTATCATCTCTATACAGCTTGAAGAATGAATGTTTAAACAACAGTAGCAATAAATAAATATTAATAAATGATCATGAAATGAAAACTAGCCTTACATCTGAAGCACATTTCCCTGCAGCAAGGAGGCAAAATATGTTGAATAATTTATATATGGAAAGATATTCTCAACTTCCATCATTGTGACATGGTTTATGGCACAGAGAATAAGTGAAGGAAGTCCCCCTCCCATCAATTTGATTCAGAGTTTATGAAATCATTTTTGAAACGTTTGTGTGGTGTGTGTGTGTGTGTGTGTGTGTGTGTGTGTGTGTGTGTGTGTGCATGTGTGTGTGTGTGTAAAATCAGATTGTTAATGAAGGGAGTTGAGTTAGGGGAACTATCAACGTTCTTATAATAAGAAGTCAGCCCAGTTCTCAAATTTGCCATTTACAATCTGGCTTTGGCAACTGAAGCTAGTAACTACGTAATAGTTTATTACAGTACTTGCAGTTTCTATGATAAAAGCTATTCTCTTAGGAAACTTTAGTGTCGTTCTCACTCTAAAAGAATTAGATTTGGGAGATGATGTGATATGACCAAATGTTATCCCTTCCTTTCTCTCTCCTTATCTTTTTCTCACATATATCCAAGTTTTTCAGCCAATAAAAGCTCACAAAATGATTTAATAATGTGTGAGTCCAAGTATTCTGCTTTGCACTAAATCATTGCATATGTCTTCTATTCTTTGACTCTATTGGCAATTTTTCTTTATAGGAAAAGTTACATGATGCTATTTATAATTATCTTATTCATCTCTTTTGTGGAGGTACAACTTTATGTTTCTCTGCCTTACAATGTGAGTTTTAATGATCTTGAGGCAAATATTTTATTCATTATGCATTAGCATAAAATTTCTCAAATACAACAATAAAAATAAAGCACAAATATCCTACTTTTAGTGAGTCAATATTAGCTTTTATAGGTATAAAAGTGATATTGCTATCATTTTTCCTTACAACTTATTACTACAGAGTCAGAATGGCCTTCTTCAGTTAACACTAGAATCTCCTGACCCCTTTCTTCCTCAAATCTAAATACTTAGTTATTTTAGTCTCTAGTTAAATAAAAAGGCAACATTTGCCAGAATTACTGCTCAAGTAATTCTTGTACTGTTCTGAGAAATCTAGTTAAATTATTCAGACTGTACACTGAGTGAATGCATAAAAACTCCGTAGGTATTCAGACTTCTTTATAAATTGTGGCTCATGTAACACCTGAAATTTTCCTTGGAAACAAATGGACATTCTCTCTCCTTTATTCTCTCCCTCCTCTTGTTCAATAGAGTGCTAATAACATTCTGTGAAATACTTTTCTAATAAAAAAGAACAAGAGAAAAAATTGAACACTGAGTCTCAATCTTAGAGGGAAAAATTGTTACCTCCACCCCGTAAATATATATTTTTAGGCATTAAGCTGAACTTTCTATGTTCTACAATTTGCCATCCACATCTGAAAATTTGATCTAAAGTTCAAGGGCATCTAGAACATCTGTGTTTTAATTAAAGATCAGAAAAAATAACAGACCAGGAAAAACAACAAACATTTTTGCTCAGAGACAAAATTTGTCTTGTATCATTTACCTTGAAAGAATTCAAAGAGAGAAAGCTGTTTTTACCTTCTCCATCCATGAATTTCTCCACAAATTCTGGAAAAGTTCCAGGATTTGGATGACCAGCTACCATTTGAAAGAAATAATAAAAGGAAACAGCCACGTCCTTGGCATTCCGGCAAAGATAGATCATCTAAGAGGGTAAAATCAAATATTAAAAAAAACTAAAATTTTTAAATATAGTTTCATCAAGGTTTTTTAAAAAGGCATTTGTGTTTTCAACTATAACAAATTACATAATCAACTTAGAAAGTACATACAGTTATTTAAAAGTCCTTTAATAGCCTGAAGTGACAGTATCTTTTAAAGTGTTGTTCAATGTTAATTCTCACTTTTCATTTTTATGCTATTTTTACATATAACACCTCATTTAAGTGTCACAATTCCATTGTTATAAATTGGACCAGATAGATTAGTATCCTTAATTTATAAGTGAAGAAACTAAACTGAAGCTAAGTCATAAAACAACACTGAGAATAAATCAATGAGAGTAAATGATTTGTAAATCACTCAGTCAACAGTAAAGTCCTCTGATCTGTATACTATACCACCATTCTGTATAGTAAAGAAAAAGATAGTCCTATTGTTTCCTCACTCACACTCTTTTAAAAAAAATCATGTTCATGTGGGTCAATATGCACATTCACCTCAGGGAAAATGTAATCTTCACCAACATCTTGTTGAGTTTCTGTTTCACATAAAGAGGAAACACTAGCAAATTAACCAGCAGGACAGTTGGTTTTACTTGCTAGTTCTGGCACTAAGATTTTCTATCATCTTGTACAAAGCACCAATATTTTGGACCTAAATTTCTATCCACTTAATAAGTCAGTTGGATCAGATCTGTGTGGTCTCTTCTAGGTCTGATACACAATGCTACTGAAAAAGTTCTGCAAAAGCAAACTGCACATCCCTGTGGGGTCCCACTTCCGTCCTCAGGCTCCTGAGCAATGCCATCAGGGAAGAAAGGCTCTTCTTGATGTATCCACCTGCAGGGGAACCTTCTTTCTGCCAAGGACCATTTGGATATTTAATACATCATATAAAATTGTCCACTTAAAAATTAGCCTGGTCAAACATGTAATGAACTTACCCTTAATGCTTTTGCAAGGCCAGACCAAATGATTTTGTGGGCTTTATATTGCCCTTGGGCAAGACATTCCCACCCCTGGTTTATGAGATATGATTAGGCTCACTAACTTGTCTTACTCAAGTCTTCACATTTTCAAACAATTGTTAATAAAATCTTCTATTTTATTCTAAGAAAAATGGATCTCAATGTTAATATCCTACTATAAAACCTCGAATTACTACAGAAAAAAATGAATTTTATTTTCTCATCAAAGCTATTATTAACCCTGTTGAACATTTATTAAATGTTTATAGATTCAATGAAAGAATAAAGAAACAAGCGTGTATACAACACAGTTATGACTTGAATATTCTAAAATTTCCTGGAGTTGGATAAAGTTTTAAGAATACTTGACTCTGGTTACCTTACAGTTCTTTTCCCAAAATGAGGCCGGAAGAAGCTGCGCTGGCAAATGAGTCTTCAAGATTCTAGGAGATGCCATCTCTTTTAATTGTTTTACCCCTGGATTATAAAAAAATTAAAGGTTAGATAACTTCAAAAATTATAAATATTTATATGGATTTTATAGATATTTAAAAAATAGAAATAACTAAGATTTTATCTTTTATTAATGATAATATTATATACAATGAACATACTAACTATGACAGAATTTTAGATAGAGAAAATAATAGAGAAAAAAATAAGATCAAATAAAATTTCATCACTTTGGAAAAATCATTCTTAATATTTGGGTCAGTATCTTTCTCTACAAGAATATCTAGCTATATGCTCAGACTCACAGCCATCCAAATACCACATACACACATGAATTTTTCAATATTTTCTAATTCTCCTTTTTCCTCAATATATTACACTGATACTGCAATGTCAAAAAACATACGATAGCCTAACATTTTTAATGATTTTATAGTGTTATTATATCACTTCTAAGTATTCTTTTCTTAACTAATATGGCTAAGAAATTGTTTACAATGTTAAAACAATCTTCAATGCATATCTTTTTGCATAGATCCTTTAAAAATGTATATTTTTCTAGTGTTTAAAATATTACCACATTTAGCCCATGGAGACATAAATACATATTACTAGGCTCTACTGAGACATATAAGAGCTATCCTATTCACTCTTTTCTAGACACATGCTACACCATAATCTCTGTCAAGATTTTCATTTAAATTTACATGTTTTGCTATGTCGAAGACATAAGAGTAATTGCCATTGTTGCTTACAGTCTCTTTCCATATATCATCTACATCCACACTTTAAAAGATGTGTATAGTATAGCTTTTAAAATCAACTTAAACATTACCATTCATCATCTCTTCTTTTCTGCATTCTAAGAAAGGTATTCGATTAAAAATGGCATCTCTTTTGCACTTTTCCACATCACCATCTTTAAAGATCACGTCTACAATTTCACTCAGCCAGGTTGTGCCTGTAAAAATTAAACAAACCTGAGTCTTCCACTGACCATGCTGGGCTGGCAATGGAAGTGATGAATTTATAGCTGGATAAAGTAGGATGGTACCAGTGCAATATTATTTGAAAGGTGCCAGAATAGCCACAAGACTCAATAAATAAAGATGAACATTATAGTAAAACATACCTGTTGTAGGAGTGCCAATTTGTCCACGATGAATTGGGACATTGTGCACACTGATAACAGTTTGGATTTAAATTTTTACATTTAGAAACTAAGGAAGCTTGAATGACAGAAGATACACCCAAGTATGCTTTCAAACACAAACTTACTGCTAGTTTTTTATGCCTCAAATTGTCTTAGTTCAGAGGATATTGAAAAAAATAAATCTGGTCCTTGGTTCAATGGTGATCAAAGGCCCTTTGAAGAGTTAGAAACAATGTTCACTAATTACAATAGTTATTTTTTTCTTAAGATGTTATAATACCAGTGAGCACAGGGATTTAAAGACTGCAAAAGGGGAACATTTAATTCAGTATGACTCTGCTGCTGCGATATTCAGATAAGAAATGCCTTCAATAATTGAGCTTAGACTTAACAAATTATTGGTATAAACTCACCAGTTTTGTGAGGTAGGGAAGGATTTTACCAGTCAGGAGACTGTCTTTTTTTTAAAAAAAAAAATTCAAGGTCAGATATTTAAGAATATTACAGTGGTGAGGGAAAGAATTGGAAATAGATTGTGAAGCCTAGATCAAAGAGTCCACCTGAAGAGATGAGTGGGCATGAAGCCATAGTGGCAATTAGACAGCAAGCATAAAATACCTTATAATTCATACTAAAGTATGGAAAGGCATTGACATACATTAAATAAGAGAGCAAGTTTAGGAGGGTTGAGTTTTATTTTTATTTTTTTTAATATATTTAATTGAATTTTTACAGAGAGGAAGGGAGAGGGATAGAGAGTTAGAAACATCAATGAGAGAGAAACATCAATTAGCTGCCTCCTGCACACCTCCTTCCGGAGAGGATGTGCCCGCAACCAAGGTACATGCCCTTGACCAGAATCTAACCTGGGGCCTTTCAGGCTACAGGCTGGCGCTCTATCCACTGAGCGAACCGGTTAGGGCAGAGGGTTGTGATTTAGAAGTCCACTAGTGGCAGAGTAAATAGAACAATGGAATGAGATTAGCCGTTCTGTATCACCACCACTCTAATCAGTATCGATGTAGCTTTTTCTTTATGTCCTTAGTTATAGTCTCCTGTTCGGCTAGATTTCAGGTGGTTCTGAATGATGGTTATTTTGTAGTTTAGTTGTAATTTTGATGTGATTGTGGGAAGTTTTAAGTACTACTTTAATCTACACTGTCATCTTGACCAGAAGCCAATAATACCCATTTTTCAATAGTACTGCTCAAGTTATAGGTATAAATTATGATCTTACAATAGATTTATTATATGCTCCTTTTTCTTTTAAAAAATATATTTTATTGATTTTTTTACAGAGAGGAAGGGAGAGATATAGAGAGTTAGAAACATCGATGGGAGATAAACATTGATCAGCTGCCTCCTGCACACCCCCTACTGGGGATGTGCCCACAACCAAGGTATATGCCCTTGACTGGAATCGGACCTGGGACCCTTCAGCCTGCAGGCTTACACTCTGTCCACTGAGCCAAACCGGCTAGGGTGACATGCCCCTTTTTCTATGTCTATAGAAACTACTATATCTGACCTTATTTAATATGGAGAAAGAGAGTGGAGGAAGTAAACAGATTAATACTTACCATTCTAGCTGAGACTGTCATTATTAGGAGACAGGAACAAGTTAGACACCATAGGGATACTCACCAGATTTGGGATAGGTGATAATGACAATGTCATCTGATCTTGCCTGAAATGTCTCCACATCATCCCAATATTTGACAAAATCTTTATACATTAGAATTCCATGGACTCTGCTAAAGAATTCAGAATTGTCACCTTTCGAAGAAGCCATCACAAAATGGTACACTAAAAGAAAAAAAGAGGTATCTTTTTCACTTTGTAAGTGTTTTATAATGTTTTAACATTAACAGTAGCTCTGTATATTGAAATTTCCTTGTCTATCTAGCATTTCTTAGCTGTTGAGCATATGGGGTAAATGTGCATTTAAGAAATATATAACATCATCTTGGTGCTTTAAGAGTTTCTAATCCTTTTAAGGAGATAAAGTTTAACATATAAAAGAATAGTAAAATACAAATCATTATAAAGTTAAATGTTTAAAACTATATAGAAATATATGATACATTGCTATTATCATATTTATACATAATATTTATCTACACGAATAAATGACAAATATGCAAATTGACCATACCTTCACTAGGCCTTAAGCCATGCCCGCCAGCCAATCAGAGCAACTATATGCAAATTAACCCAAACAAGATGGCTGCCGGCAGCCACAGAGCTGGAGCAAGCAGGAAGCTTGGTTTCCCCAATGATGGAGGAAGCCAAGCTTCCCAGCTGCCGTGGCCAGCTCTGAGCTCCACTCAAAGCAACAAAGTTTCAATTATAGAAGCTAAATAAACCCCAGATACCTGCTTTCAGCCGGCCATGGCCACGGAGCTGGAGCAAGCAGGAAGTTTGGTTGCTCCAATGATGGAGGAACCCAATCTTCCCGCGGCCAGCTGTAGCCTCCGCAAAAGGCAACAAAGTTTAAAATATAGAAGGTAAATAAATCCCATAATAAAAAAGAAAAAAATAGAAAAAAAAGGAGAGGCTGGGAGCTTCCATCACCGGGGGGCTTGGCCAGTCTGAAAATGGCCCTCAGCCCCTCACCCAGGCTGGCCAAACCTCCATGGGGTGGGGGTCCCCACTGGGGGAGGACTTGACCAGCCTGAAAACAGCCATCAGTCCCTCACCTAGGCTGGCCAGGCATCCCAGTGAGGAACTCCACCCTGAAGGGGGTGTGACCAGCTGCAAACACCCATCAGCCCCTCACCCAGGCTGGCCAGGCACCCCAGCGGGACCCCCACCCTGATCCGGGACACCATTCAGGGCCAACCAGCCGGTCCCCACCTGTGCACCAGGCCTCTATCCTATATAGTAAAAGGGTAATATGCAAGCTGACCCTAACAGCAGAAAGACTGAGAATGACTGGTCACTATGACACACACTGACCACCAGGGGGTAGATGCTCAATGCACGAGCTGCCCTCTGGTGGTCAGTGAGTTCCCACATGGAGGAGCTCTGCTCAGCCACAAGTCAGGCTATGGCTGCCAGTACAGCAGTGGTGGTGGGAGCCTCTCCTGCCTCCTCAGCAGCGCTAAGGATGTCCGACTGCAGCTTAGGTCTGCTCCTGCTGGTAAGTGGAAATCCCCCGAGGGCTGCCGGGCTGCCAGAGGGATGTCTGACTGCTAGCTTGTGCCTGATCCCCCAGGGAGTGGGCCTAAGCCAGCAGGTGGACATCCTCCGAAGGGTCCCAGACTGCAAGAGTGCACAGGCCAGGCTGAGGGACCCCCCCAAGTGCACAAATTTTTGTGCACCAGGACTCTAGTATATAATAAATTCCACAATGAATGAAAATAGTAGAGCCTTCAATTTTTTTCTGTCAGAATTGCTCGGCATATAAAAAGACTAAGAAGATCAGAAATACAACAATATTTTGGCAAAGCATTGATTAACTTTGTCTACGTTAAATAACAATAAAATTGAGGTCACATTTGATATCTATTGCCAGATTTCAAAGTCAGTTTCCTTAGTTTCTGAATATTTTTTTTTATTTAATGGAAAAATTCAAAGGCTTGGTGAGTGTATTTAAAAGAGATGAAGTCAATGACACTGTAACTGATATCTAAGGCTTGATTCTTCAGGGCAGAGAAGGTTCCTCTTGTGACTACAGACATTACCTTTACTTTTCTGTCTCAGTTAATCATTAGTATAGTAGTGAACACTCCATTGAGTGACTTGTCTGAAAATTATCAGGTTAAACCAAATGGTTATCAGTTGATAATTCATCTCCCGGCCCTATTACAACCCATTTCATGTTCAGAGTTAATCACAGAGTTATTAATTAAGTGAATTTTCTTTCATTGACTTTCAATTTCTTTCACTACCATTTCACCCCCAAATTATCCCATTTTGAGTTTTCGATATAGTACCTCAACAAATTTTGTCCTTCTAGACCTCTCTTTTATTCATCCTTGCCAAAAAGCTGCCCGATAGGCTGTTATAGACTCATAGATTTGTGACAGCGGTAGCTTTTATTGTGTTTTTCAGAGAGTTTGTATTAAAACAAGAGGCTCCTGAAGGCAGTAGTTCTTTTAGCCTCCTACTGTGTTTCCTATAATAGAGCATTCCAATCCATGAGAGAGGAAATGAAGTTAGTAGATACTATAACAAATGGATTAACCCTAAGGAAGAAATAGCTGATGATAAAATTTTAGAAAGATAAGTATCCTACAAATGAAAGCAAATAATTAGACCTGTGACTTATACTGAAGTCTTTTTCTTGTAGTGTTTCTCCCACTAAATTTCTAGCTACACATTACAGATGTAAACTTTCAGATGTTGCCTCCTAACTCTTCCTTATCATCCAGCATCTGACATTAAGTCCCTTTGATTCTATCTCTGTTATTTTCCTCTATTTTCTATAGTTAAGATCTCTGCCCTAGTTAGGAACCACTCCAACTGTTAACTGAATATACAAAAATAACCTCCCCATTGGCCTTCCTGTAAAAAGTTCATATGTCCTCTTTCTATGATCACCAGAGAAAGGAAAATGAATGCTATTTACTTATGTTGAGCCAGACTTAAAAGGTTTTATTTAAAAATCTTATTTGTAAGTCATATGAGAAAGCAGATATCATTATCAATTAGGTTAGGTTTGTCCTGCATGATACTTCTTGAAGATGCAACCATATTTGTCTTATACAAGAAAGAATAAATATGCACACATTTATGCATACATGTAAACAAATGCATATAAATGTATAATTTGGGGCACAATTTTTGAAAAAAATTAAACAACATAGAGGAAAAGTACCCTCTTTATTATAATCTTAAGAGATAATCATTCCTAATAGCATTGTATTTATGCTTCCAAATATTTAAATGTATATTAAAATCTAGATTTTATATCACATTCTATATTTATTTATAATCTGTTTTTTTCACTGAACTACATAATGTGAAGATATTTTAGTGTTAATATGTAAATTCTGTTTTTATTCTTATAAATGAAACATAGTATTTCATAGTATGGATATAACATAGATGATATAATTCTTTATTGATAGAAATTCCTGTTTTTCCCAATTATTTTGAAATAAGTAGTACTTTAATGACTGTCTTTGAGAATATGTATTTTCACACTTATCTTTTCAGTAATAATGGGATTGTCAAAATAAAAAGTTATGCATGTATAAGATATTGATATTTTTTAACAAATCACTGAAATATTGTACACATTTACACAACATATGGAATTGCCTATTTTCTCACATCCTCACCACTACTGGAAGTTACTTGTAATTTTTTATGAGAATATATATATATTTTTTTTCTAAATTGGTATTTCATAGATATTTTATAATTTTCATATTTCCACATTTTATATATTTATTGATTATTTTAATCATTTTTATCCATTTTTCCAATAATAATTATTGGTTTTTCCTGGTTTACAGCTAGTAATTTATTGTTGATAAAGAAATCTATTGATTTTTCCCCTTTTAAAATATTGCTGTATAGGATATTATTGTTTATACTAGGGACCTGGTGCATGAAAATTCATGCATTGGGGGGGGGCGGGGGTCCCTCAGCCCAGCCTGCCCCTCTCACAGTCCAGGACCCTACAGGGGCAGGTGGTGACTCGGCGATCAGGGGAAGGTGACGCCCCATCACACCTCTACTGCTGCCACTGCCAGGAGTGCAAGACTCGGCTGGCCTTGGTTACCTGTACCTCAGGCAGCCCTAGGAGGCTGGGCAGCTGCCATCTGAGGCTTGCCTGCTCCTTGGGCCAGCCCTGGGTGGCTGGAGGGCTGAGGGGACTGGCGGACTCCAGAGGCAGGCTGAGGGGACTGGGCGCCACCATCTTGTGGCTGTGGGCACCGCCATCTTTGAGGGCAGTGCAGTCAATCAACATATTCCCTCCTTATTGTCTATGTGTGCCACCACCTTTGTGAGAGCATGAGGGTCAATTAGCATATTCCCTCTTTATTAGATAGGATAAGCAAGTGTGTTAAATTTTTGCCTTATGATTGGTATGGTTATCTAAATATTTAAATATGCTCATATAATGAAGAACATATATGTGTTAAAGGTTATACATATACATTAATTTAGATGATTAAGGTATAGATAGCAGAGAAAATAGTTATTAAGAATATGGGTTCTAAAGTAGACCACCTTGGGTTAAATCCTAGTTCTGCTAATTGAAATTGTATGACCCTGGCCAATTAACTTGACTATGCTCCATTTTCTCACCTACAAATTGAAGATGATAATAATTGTACTTACCTGAAACAGTTATTGGGAATTAAATGAGGGGATAAGCCTGGCCAATCATAAATGCTTAATAAGTGTGAGCTTTTATTGTTATTATGCCACATCTATATGATAATGTAGGAGAACCAGACCCTGGACTCTCTCAGTAATAATACACATTACATAGTAATGATATATCTGTTCGAAGCAGGGAAAATATTTGTTGTTTAAAAATTCCCAAGGATATTAATATAAAATTGTCTGAAGAAACTCATAGTCAGTGATCTGTTTTCTCCTGGAGAGGGTACAATCTATACATGTCTAGTGTGAATGTTGTCCCTGTTTACTTGTCTAAAGTTCTCTGGGACCACCCAGTATGACATTCATTTCATGAATGCCCCAGATTGCACAACAGAAGAGAGACACAATATAAGAGTTTTTCTTTTGTTTGTTTTTAACCAAAGAATTGCTTATCATGTGTTTTGGAAACCACAGAACAGCACTAATCATGGTTGTTCTTACCAAAAGGGGAAAATAATCCCAGTCCTTAAGGACAAACTCAACTATTTTAAAACTGCCCTCTCAGGTTTATCAGAGGTAATCTCACCAGAATTATATTTTTAGTAAAATCAGATTTTTTAATAAATCTGCTTGGTCCCCAAACCTTCCCCTTACTCTCAGAAATGAGCTCTTTCACTAGAAAAAAATATTTGTAAAAGGCATCACTTGCCCTGCCTACTAATTTGTTTATTCATCTAAACAACTTTCTTGGTGTTCTGCCAAGTTTGAAAGAATTGGCTTATAATCAATTGGGAGTAGCTGACTTATCATTAAAGAGTTGTTTGACTTTTTGGCTGCCCCTTCATGATCAATTTTGTACTTGGAATTAAAGTAGGCAGCATATAATAAAATCTCTTTCTTTGTTTAACTTATTTTGGTAAATTATCTTATATTACAATGTATGGACACACTGTCTAACTGCTCTGTTCTTTCTCAAAAGATATATTTCAGTTGGAAAGGGTCAATTTTATTATCTGAGTATATAGGTTACTGTTGTCTAGAGACACCAATAAAAAACTTGTTAAAACTCTGATTAATAAATTCAATTCAGAAAGATTTCTTCTTTTTCTCTATGTTTCTTCATTTCTGTCTCTTTTTCTTTCTTCCTTTTTTTATTTGTCCTCCCTTTCTTCATCTCCCTATCTGCCTATCATTCAGAAAACATTCTCTGTGTTTCTGAGCACCTACTTCATCCCCAAGCACAATATCAAGGGCTGGGATACCGTGGTGAGTATACGCATAAGGCTCACTTAGTCCTCACCGTCTTAGACTTACCTAGATTTAGGTAAAGTGGCTGAAAGCTGAGAATATCCTTTTGTACATCATTTTATCCCAGGCCTCAGCACTGTGTCATTAAGTAGATGCTCAAAACCATTCATTAAAGTTAATGATTAGTTCAAGTCACTCTGGGCTTTCTAGGTTTCACTAAAGACTCCTAGATAAAATAGGCATTATGCTGCCAATGATCTATCTGTTAGTAATTTACCAAGGACTTGCATTTCTGCTGTATTTATCTGCTATCTCTCACTTAATAGTAACAATAATGTTTGCAAGGCCCATGGTCATAATAGACTGCTTCTGACAGATTTCATGCAACTGAACTCCGGTCTAAAAGTCAGTCTTCACTCTGTTTCTACCTTGCTTACTGTATTTATCAGTAAAATGGAGAACATGTCTAGTGAGCAGGACTTACAAGATAACTATGATACTGCGATTTTATGTTAAAGCTCTTTACCCAGAAAAACACCACATAAATGCTAGATGTTATTTGTAATGACACACATGTGGTTTAAGAAGGTTGTAAATGCTTTATATTATTAAGTGACTAAAGTATTGATAAAGAATTACTCTTTCTATATTTCCCTTTTAACAGCTTTGTGATAAACAGTTTGCATTTATATTTCCTATATGTTAATCTAAATAAAAATGTTAATAATAATAAAATACAACCTGTCCAGATGATCCTGTGAAACTGAGTGTTCAGTGTAGTCTTCCTCAAATCCCCACTCAGGTTTTAAGCTGCAAAAAAAAAAAAAAAAAAAAAAAAAAAAAAAAAGATGAGTTGTGCATCTAGGATGTTTCTGAGGAGCTTTTATTCCTAATGCCAGAGAAGGAGGTGGAGATTAATTTGTGGGCTTGGCTTTCTAGAGTCTGTGATGCAATGGACTAACACAAATATAGATACATACCTGCAAATGCATTCAGCCCCACACAGTCATGCTCTTTCATACAGAGATGTAGAAAGCCTGTGCTGTTATTTTTCATTCTTGGCTCAGGATCAAATTCCTAGATCTGCCCATAGCAATCAGTGGGTTGGGGAGAGGGAGGGAGAGGAAATGAAGGGGAAGATGAGGGAGAAGATTAGAGCAAAATGTACGACAGCTTGGGAAGAAAAAGCCTCTTACTCACCGATGAATAATAAGATGGTTAAGGTTGACCTTCAAAGATTAAACTTGCTGGAGGAGTGAGAGGAAAGAAGAAAATGACAGGGAAGAAACAGGAGGGTGGTAAGGACCCTGAATCAGAGACCCAGCTCAATTTACTAAGAATTGTCAAAGAAGGCTTTGTAGTGCGTGGTTGTATCCTACCTGACAAGTCAATTGTAAAACATCTTCTGTCTAAAATCTTTGCTTTCAGCTCTTAAGCAGTCCTGAAAATCAAAAACAGATGACAGCTAAGGAAAGAATGTAAATATCATTCACCTTTAGATTATTATTTTAAAAATCCCACTTCTCTCTGCTCTAAATCATATGCTTAATGCAAGGCTTAGTATGGAATTTCCAGTTAAAATTATCCATTAATGCCATTGGAATCTAGATAAGAGGATGAGAAAAATAGAAGGACAGGGGTTTGTGGAATCTATGGATCCTACACTTTTCTTTTTACATCTCTGTACCTACTCTGTCTTTAGTTGGGAAAATTCTTCCTTGCTATCCACCTCCATCCACCTCTATCAAAACCTCCAACTCAATTCCAAACCTGATTAGTTTTCATTTGTCTTTCAATTTTCACTTGATTGCACTTCTTTTGAAAAGCCTTTAGTGACACATGTAGAAGTGAATATCCCTTTGAGCGAACTTTAAGCTCTCTACTAGCTATTAATTGGCCCTATTTCACTGTGCTGAAGTTAAAATTTACTTATCTAGCTTCCTTATTAAGGAATATATAGACTGTATATGGATTAATACAAGGTCCTACTATATAAGTAGCACAGTGTATGGCATCTAAAATCTAAGGATTAAATATATACTAACTAAATAAAAGGGGCTGGTGTTCAAGAAAGATAAGAAATTAAGTTCTAGCTAATTTGGTTCAGCGGATAGAGCTCTGGCCTGCAGACTGAAGGGTCCTGGGTTTGATTCCGGTCAAGGGCACATGCCCAGGTTGTGGGCTCAATTCTCAATAGGGGGCGTGCAGGTAGCAGCCAATGGATGATTTTCTCTCATCATTGATGTTTCCATCTCTCCCTCTCTCACTCTGCCTTCCTCTCTGATATCAATAAAAATATATTTTAAAAAAATTAAAAAAAGAAATTAAGGGAACCATAGTAGTTGCTTATTGAAGGCATTTATATTCAGCCCTATCTAAAGTAAAAAGAACAGTTAAGTTGTTGCTGAGAAATAGCACATTTCTTGATTAAAAATCAAGGTGGAGCATGAGCACCCAGGGGCTCAAGTTTACATTTTATATTATTTGATTTTGTGTAGTTGGTCATTTTAATTTTTATATTTACTTGTGTGAAATAAAATATATTACAACATTTAATCTTCAAATATGAAAATATCACATGGTCCATAATTTTTAACCCTGTTGCATAGCTTAATTATATTTTTTAATTATTCGTTTTTAATTATGAGGATCTGGGAAGCTTTCTTTCTTGTTTACTAAAAATAATCTTTCATCCAAAAAGTTAGCATGTGGGCATAAGCTAATCTGAACAGGTTTTACCTTCTCTCTTATCTTTCAGTTACAAGAGACTAGCTGTAGGGATATTACAAATGTTTTAAATAATGTAATGCTGGCAACCACCAAAGTCAAAAACACCTTTAGCCTTAGAAAATCTTCTAACTGAAGAGAATTCACTTCTGGAAAAAAAAAAAAAAAAGTAAAATAGCCAGCTTAATCTCCATTCTTCTCCATGAGCAGTGATTACAAAAGAAATTACAAAATGTTTGAGTCCTAGTCTGACCTTTCCTCCTGTGTACTAGTACACTCAACCCAGAACAAAAAATTCCAGATAAGCACCTACATATTTAAATGTTTATCTTGATTCTTAGAGCAGATCTGCTATCATACCTACCATACCGCTGCTGTCACACTCTAAAACATTGAAAACAATGCGGAATGTGTATGTCTGTGTGATAAAATGTTTCTGAGACAACAGTTGTTCCTTAATAGAGACCACTGAACTTTTTCTTTTCCTTCTGTATCACACACTTCATTTGGGTCAAGTTTGAGGATGCTAGCTTTTGTTTAATAAATGAAAAGATGTCAAAATTAATAATAAAAAAATAAGTGGCAGTGTGACTGAGCGCTTTAAAATATTATTACTAAAACAGTTTTTTTTTTAATTTTAAGAACAGCTTTGAGTTTACAAAAATCTGAGCCAGTAGTACAAAAAGATTTTCTCCCCTGTATAGTATGCCCCATTTATTAACATCTTGCATTAGTGTGGTACATTTGTTGTAATGTACCCCACGAATCATGGAAGGACGCCTCAAGGAGTTGAATTAAAGAGTCACATTTATTGCAATCCGGGACTATGAGGGGCTATTCCCCAAACCTCATAGTAATAAGATGGCCGCAATACCAGATTTATGTAGGCAAAGATCACAAAGGTATTGATTACATCCCAGGGTTTGGAATGAGGAACCTGATTTGCAAAAAGCAGTTTACAGAAGCAAAGCAGCATGTTATCTAAATTATAGTTTTGGGTCTCCAGAACACTGAGTCAACAGGGACACGTGAACTGGAGCCCTCAGACCTTGGGATAATTGTGCTGTCCTTCCCAGGAAAGGAAAATGTGCTTTCTAAGACCAGTATGACCACAACCCATGGGATATTCACATTACAATCAATAGGGTATTTAATCAAATGGGATAATTTATATAATTCAGAAAATCAAAATAACTTTTCTATTATTTTAGCAAACAAATAAGTACAGAAACCAAACAGCAGGGTTAAAGTTAAACTATAGTTTCTACCTGAGATGATTGCTACCATACTTCACATTTACTAGAACTGAAGAACCAATATTGACACCTTAGTATTAAAGTCCATAGTTCACATTAGGGTTTATTTTTGTATTGTAAAGTTCTATGATTATTGACAAATGCATAATGTCACCCACTTAAAAAAATCTCTTGTGTTCCACCTATCCATATACCTGTTGCTGATGTAAGAAACATCCAAACCTGTAGAGAATTTTTATAACAGTTTATTTGAGCCAAACTGACTATATGTTGGAAGCAAGATTGCAAATGCTCTGGAGAATAACCGTTTTGCAGCTTCTTTTATGCATTTAAAATCAAGGAGGGACCTAAGGAAGATTACATAGAGGTGGGAGAAAACAAGGCAGAGATTGAATTGCCGTGTAGTTAACAACACTATGTGCTCTCTTTTTAATTTTATCTTATTTTTTCCATCACTATTTATTCCCTCTATGCTTTTTCAAAGGTATGTTACCTAGAAGCACAGAAGGAATGGACAGGGCTTGCTTAAGGCAAAGGTAAGCCTTTTAGTCAAGAAGTTATGTGTCTCAGATGTGACAAACTGCCATGATCTGCCCAGTTAGAAATTTATTGTTGGGTAGCACACGAGACTTGTTTGGAAAGTTTGTAAGGAGGACATTACGAGAAAAGGGAAGTGTGTGGAAGGTTGCCTGCCCTGTTTATCGAAATTCCAACTTAGGGGAGTGCTGAAGGCGGTGCCCCTAATTATTCCTTGACCTTTCCAAACAAGTCTGTGTGCGTGCAGACCCCCGGGGTGTTTACTGGAACCCTATGCTTAATCTTTGGGTGTCCTTGCTTAAAGGGCATTACAAACACACGTGTCCTCCCAAAATTACCCTACTGATTGTATCTAAAAGATAAACTTTACCTTAAACTGCTGTTACAATAAAAGCCTAATGAGGCAGGCAATTGAGCTGTCTGATTGCTTTAGCAAACTGCAGGGTCTGCTGGTCAGCCCCGACAATTTATGACCCGATCACATGGTGAGATTACTTTCCATAGAACTGTTTTTTTGATTTTTGTTTTCATCCACTCTCCTTCCATCCTCCTTCCCTGAACTCCTGACAGCCAGGGATCTTTTCATTGTCTCTATAGTTTTGCCTTCTCCAGACTATCATATGGTTGCAGCCAAACAATATATGTAAGCTTTTCAGACTGGCTTCTTTGACTTAGTAATGCACATTTAAGGTTCTTCCGTTATCATCAGGAGTGGAGTTTTTGGAGTGTGAAAAGAAATGAATTTTCTGAAGCCCCTGTGGGGGGGGATAAGTTTCTTGGAAAGCTTTATTCCTCTCCAAGGTCCCTTCTCTGTCCATCCTGTCATGGAAGAAGTCCAATCTTGTCTTCAGCAAGGCCAGAATAAAGGCCACTGTCCATAGTTTCTGCTCCCCATTAAAGTCCGGTCCAGTCCAGCATCCACCTTGTGAAGTCCACATGACCATGGGCCATGAGGCTGCTAAGTCCACATGGCTATGGAGAAAGAACACACAAAAGCATGGACAAGTGTATGTTGTGGAGCAAAAGGGGAACAAGAGAGAGGGAACCCTTTGTCTGGGGATTTTAACCAGGAGCTTCTTCAAACTCAATTAACTTTCAAAGATTTTGCGTGCTTCTGATGGGTTCACTCCCTAGTCAATCCACTCTTTTCCAGGCTAGACTGACAGGTAAGCACCCCTGTGTCACTCCAACTTCTACAGCTTCCTGGTGAAGCTTCCCTGGTGACCATGCTTACAATATCAGACTTCCCTTTGCTTTCTTTCCTTTATTAAATTAATTAGCTAATTATGATGATAA